CTTCTGCACCTGTCAACAGGTATTTTGGCCCACTCCTCGTGAGCCAGCTGCTCCAGCTGTCTCATAGTTGAAGGGTGCCTTCTCCAGACTACATGCTTCAGCTCTTTCCACAGATGTTCAATAGGATTTAGATCAGGGCTCATAGAAGGCCACTTCAGAACAGTCCAATGCTTTGTTCTTAGCCATTCTTGGGTGTTTTTAGCTGTGTGTTTTGGGTCATTATCCTGTTGAAGGACCCATGACCTTCAACTGAGACCAAGCATTCTGACACTGGGCAGCACATTTCGCTCCAGAAATCCTTGATGGTCTTGAGATTTCATTGTACCCTGCACAGATTCAAGACACCCTGTGCCAGATGCAGCAAAGCAGCCCCAGAACATAACTGAGCCTCCTCCATGTTTCACAGTAGGTACAGTGTTCTTTTCTTTGTAGGCTTCATTTTTGCATCTGTGAACATAGAGCTCATGTGATTTGCTCAGTTTGATCAGTTTTTTATGATCTGCTTTCAACAGTGGAGTCCTCCTCAGTCGTCTTCCATGAAGTCCACTGTGGCTCAGACAGAGACGGATGGTGTGATCTGACACTGATGTACCTTGACCTTGGAGTTCTGGGAGAGTGGCTCCAACAGATCCCAGGAACAACAACTGAGATCTCTGTCCAGAAGAGTGTAGTGCTAGGAACAGCTAAGATCATGAGCAGGACCCTCAAGCTCCCAGGCCTCTGGTAGTGGACCCAAGCTTGAAGGAAGGAATATAAGACCGCCCCAAAGTGGGGAATTTATCTGAGCAGCAATTATATAGTGTAGTTTACTCACAGCTGCAGTGTGCGAATGCATGAGGGTGTTGGGCTAATTTGTATGTAACTTTAGAAACGTTTAATAGTTTCTAACATAATACAATTAAAGATATACTAATTACTGCATTTAAGGTTTTGTACCAGAAGTGATCAAAAAACCAATTGTGGCCCGTGGGAACAAGCAGCCTGTTAAAGATGCACCATCCACTTCAGCTATACCTACAGATGTTTTTCTTGGGATCAAACCATCATGAAATGCAAAAATAGACAATGTATTTCCCTCTGGTAGTAAACAAAGGTATGTCTTTGTGAAACTTGACAGTTTGAGGAAACTGCAGCTGAATTGTGAGTGACAGCAGCAGTGCACATTGAGGTCAGACTCACTTTATATTCTGTCAATAAGGCCTGTAACATGATTGATCAGGACATTTGCAGGGTTCATTCATGGCTCAAGCTGCGTTCATGTGTTATTTTGTGTGCCTATGTGTACTATAATTATTGCACCTGGATTTGATGTCAGATCTGTGATTCTCAAAGACTCGCTGGAGATCACATACTCAGCTCAAAACTGCCAGGTAAAAAGGAGACCCCCAATGTAATTTGCACCCTGGCTACAGCCTGTAAGGATAGATATTGCGTCATAATGTGCATCAACCCTATTTGGCCATATTTATATTGTATCTATAGCCACATACTGAGAACTATTAGATGTATTTCATAATTCTGATAACTTTAAAATAAATTATTCACAGTGAATGGCATAAAGACAGGACCTGAGCTATGCTGGCTTTGTGTTGGCAGGAAAATAATAAAGCTATAAGTCACATACAGCAATAAACTATTGTGCTACTCTTGAGACCTGCTTGAAGACTGGAGTAGCGATTTTCTGCCCAGTTTAATTTTGTGAACATTTATCCTTTGAAAGTCTCCAATGAAGGCAACAGAGTTAATCCGCTGCTCATGTTGCAAATCTCTGCTGACAACAGGAGGTGCCGTCACTGGGTTTCTGGCCTGGGGAGCTGTGGATCAATGAGATCACACACAGGCGCAGACATGCCAGGTAACAGAGACTCTGCATTACACGGCCCGCTGCCTTGTCAATATAGGTGATCAGCAACCAGAAATCTCTCTAGCACAGCGGTCACAGATGGGTGCCAACATCAACCACTTTTCCAAGGGGAATTTCTTACTGACATTGTGAATTAACACATAGCCTTTCTCATCCTAAACAGTCAATTCATTCATCTGGCTTGCATTCATTTTTGTTGCCATGTACACTCTGAATCCTCCTCCTACCAGCTGTGATAGAGGCTACTGTATATGGGTGCCCTTGAAATTGCCCCTGTGCCAACCTGAAGCCATAAAATCTCACTCCAAGCCCACCCTATTTTCACAAGCAGGCTAGAACAGGTGGCAGGGCACTGACATGGCTCCATAAAAATCAGAGAGGAGCTCAATCCATACCCTTAGCTCTCACCTTTTCAGCCATCATTTACTTTCTTTATTACCATTAATGGTTATGTATCTGGCTACAAATCTAGGGCACTCTCCTAAAGCTGTCAGGATAGCCTGCAGCCCCAAGAAACATTGCAGTCACCTTGACATACACAAACCCCCCGTGCCTCTGGCCATCGCTGGCTTCATTAAGATTCCACGGAGGGGGGAAGAGGAGGGGACATAGCAGGAGGAATAGAGGGAGATGGGGAGATGACTGGGAGGAAGAAAACAAGCAGCCAATTGGATGTAACCGCTCACTGGGGTATTTACTCTCATAGTTACTATCCAGTCCCCATGAAGATATGAGAGCTTTGCAGCAGGTAATGAATTGATGATCTCTGGGTGGCGGCCTCCTGCTCTCCATTAAGTTTCAGTTAATAGCCAGGAAACCATATGATACATGAGCAGGGAAAAAACATAACTACCCCGTTTTTTTTGCCTGTGTTGCTAGTGAAATCAGTGCTATTTTAAAATAAACACAATTGTAAACAAAGGATATAGTATATGTCAATACCTACACAATGTGGACAGTTGTCACTACCTATTACTACTCCTACAAACTGAGCTAAACAGTTCAGTCATCTAAAAACAACTGAGCTTCCAGGAAATGGGTATACCATCACTGGGCCATTTTCATGATTTGTCATGTTGCGATCTGTCACCTAATTTGAAATGGAGTCATTTTAATGCGCTGACAAGGACAGAGAATGCAAAGCAAAACAAGCGAAAGTAGTGAAGCGCACAGGCGCGTGCACACACGCACACACACACACACACACACACACACACACACACACCAATCAACTACATGCAGAAAACAATTTGCCTCAGCAAAACTTTTCATTTTGATTAAAAACAAATGATATGGGTGTCCTGCACTGGAGCCTCTGGCATGCCACTCTATTTCTATGCAAATACAACTTCATGGTTCGCTTTCAATTGTTCCACCATGAGTGGCAGGCGGGCCTGTGGCTGGGAGCAGAAAGGGAATCCTAATAGGACACAGCAAGGCAGAAGGAGGCTTGATCGACAAGGACGAACAAGAACCTAAATCGCAATATACTTTCTTTGCCTTAATAAATAAATATTATTTTAATATTTCAATATCTGCAATTTTGTTAACAAAAACTGACAGTATACTACCAGTTTTAACATGCACAGCTCCTGTTTAGATCTGTTTGTTAAGAGAAACATTTAATAGCCAACTAATGAATGTTTGGAGTGCATTCCTCATTAAAATGCAGATACATCATGTGTTCTTTTAGAGACAGCTTATTTGGTACTCGTTCGTTGTTGCAAGAGGAGCACAGCATCATGTTTTCAATTTAAAAGGATAGAAAAGAAACTCTCTGAAATACACAGTTATATTGTAATTAAATTACCTTGTTGAGTGCCCCAGCTCCGGTTAGGATAATGTGAGAGTTGTCCACTTGGATGATTCTCTGTCCAAGCCTCACCAGATAGGCCCCAATTCCTATAGCTCGACATGTGACCTATTGGACAGGACACTCATGTTAAAGCTTTAAATGCATATTAAGAAACCAGATGCAGGCAATTATTCAGCACAAGTTGTTCAACTCTTTGAACTGAGGAAATCACTGTTCTTATAAGTTCAGCCAAGTGTGCAGCTTAAGATTAAAGAGAGGGCTACATGTATGCATGTGTTGTTGTACACAAGTATGCCATTTCACTCTTACCAGATTCATGGTGATAATCTCCTCATAAGCCAGAGAGGATTCTCCAGCGATCATTCCAGAGCCTCTGAGATTCTCCACACCCAGCCCTTCTTCCTTTCCTATGATGTCAGTGATCTTGTACCTGCATGACAATACATATTTTCATTCAGTCTTTAAACCATTGATTCATTTACACTACACAGCTACTGCAGCAGCTTGTAGGTTAATTTCCACTCATTTAAAAGTGTATCAATATGAGATTAAAAAAGGTGTACCTGGATTCTCCTTCATCCTCCACATGTTCACAATGCACAGAATTCAGAGCCGAAACCTTCTTGTAATCCTGAGGTGTGAGGTAGAGATACTTGAAACCCTGCAGGGGGACAGATGCAAAAGACAAAACCTCAATATCATTTTGAAAGGCAAAAAAAGAAGATACAGGTAGTGCATGGAAGTTTCAGAAATTGAACATAAGCTCTTAAATAAAGAAATAATTTAACAGCCATACACACCAAATAAACTACACCTTGTATGTCTGAAATTAATGACAACCATTATAAAGAAAATACATTTGACATTTATTTGCTTTAGGAATTTACTCACAAAAATATATTTAGGTTGGGTTTTTGAAATATTGAGCTTGTGAATTTCAGGTAACAAAACTTTAAAAAGTTATAAAATTTCAAAGGACAAGATGGAAGGAAGAGACTGCCGGCTGACCTTATAGGGGTCAGCTGGATCTTGCCAGGCCACTTGGAACATGTGTCTGATCTCCTCTGCCAGCCCAATGCGTGCGCCACTGTTGGCTGCGATGTAGATTCGAGGGATGCCGCTCTCTCGTGCCATCTCTGAGGCTCGCAGGAACAACACGTCCTCCTGGGGCCCGAATGAGCCAATCTTATGTGTGATGTCGTTACTTATGACGATAATCTCACGTCCCGCTGGATATTCTGGAGTACGCAGGGTCATCCGCCATGCCACCATGCCAATCTGGAGAGACAGAGCACATGCAATGTAACAAGAAATACTCAGCATGTTTAAACACTGCACCATAAATATACTGGAAATATTTTTTTTTTTTTTTTTTTTGGTTGCTCAAATGGTGTGAGATCAAGTGTGAGGTGTTTGATACTGTCGTGCTCTAATTCTGATTGAAACTGCAGCATTTTATCTTAAGAATTACTAGATATTATTATTTCTCAGTGCACTTCCAAAGATGCATTAAGCTTTGCCATACAACAATAAAGTACTTAAAAGGAGTCATGAACACATTCAAAGAAACACAGAGACACCTACAGAGTAAAAGGGGAATTGCACATTTTGAAAGGGGGGCTGGACAGATAAAGAAAAAAGTCATGTCAATGTAACTGGGCATTATTTAGATTTCTTATTTTTTTGTATTCATGTATCAAATTAAACTGACCTCGTTGCCCCCTGGCAGTCGGTTCATCTGTACCAGCTGACCTTGGGCATCAAGAACCAGCTCTGTGAAGGTGAGCAGCTCAGAAGGAAGAGGGCATTTGGGTAAGTGGGCATAGGCTTGGGTTGAGTGCCACAGCTTTTTCAGAGCCTGGGTAAAGAAATTAAAAAGTCAAAATAAAATGATTAATCATTCAGCATTTCTAAGCAGAAGATGCACTGTGGTCATGGAGTAAGTTGTTTTTGTACTGTACCTGTCTGAACATTTCTGGAAAGTCATAGACATAGGTGGTGCCCAAAGACTGTGCCTGGAATCGCTTTGATTGCAGCAGATCCTTGGTGACATAAGGAGTGTTGATGAGCATGCCATGCAGCGGACCCTGCTTGTCTCCATATGCTTGGAACATAATCTGAACAAAGAAGGACACAGAGAATAACTCTACAGATACAGATCTTTTCAACAACCTTACCACTGGGTTAAAAATCATGATGATGATGATCATGATGATGATGATCATGATGATAAGGAGCATCTGTCATACAACCTGCCTTCAACCACCCAATAAACATGAAGCATTATTCAGATGTTAACAAACAACATACACAAAAACAATGTACACAGGATATGGTGACTGCCTCTAGAGGACACCAGGCTACAGCATCATACATTATCAGGGCCATCAGTCAGGATCAGTCACTTGCCACCTCTTTTAGGTGCAGGTATGTCATAAACAGGAACCTCAAATGACAAATGTTTTGCAGAATCAGGGCCATAAAACACTTGCCAAGTACAGATGTTTTTGTCACCTAGTACTAGTACAACAAGCTGTACACACAACACTGTCATATCACGACCTTATAAATTTGGCAGTTCGTCAGCATCTGGCTCTTTAGCTGCTATTTTCTACAGCTAGGTACTGACTTTGTCCGCCGTTTGGTCGCTAGGCAGGTACCATAGCTTACAGCAGGTTTTTATACAAGACCAAGCTATTTTTTAGCTCTGATTACTCAGTATTCTCAGAAGTTCATCATTCATTCATTTTCTTGCATGATTATGACTGCAGGAAATGTAGCCAATTCTCAACCATGTTTAGAATTTACAAACAGAAACCAGTCACCTCTAACTTTAATGGCATGACACCATACTGGAGCGCTACTCCAACTTTCAACATGAATTTTTAAATTTAACTGTATACAAATTACAAACTCCATGTTTAACTTTTCAAAGAAGCTGGTAAATTGCATTCTGGGAGTCGAGGTTTCCAGGATGGAGGTGAACCCCTTTGCCAATGACTGAAAAATAAACAGAAGAGATGGAAAATGTTTGAGTGCCCCACCTTTCTGTCTTTGGGCCCCACCTGTCCTGTTTGGGAGTCAGTGACCTCCTTGTATAGACTGATGTCCAGGTAGTAGCCTGATTCATTAGTGAGGAAGAGGCGGATGGGAATTTGCTTTCCTGTTGGAGTCAGGCGGATGTTAATTTTCAGTTCAGCCTGCAGGACACGCAGCTTCCACAGACGGCTGCCATAACGCATGACCATGGAGCGCACAGACTCCTCAATCTGACAGTTGTAGAGAAAGATTAGTGAGAACCAAATTCTTTATTCATTAATGTGAGCTGTGGTCAGGCAGTGTTTTAGAAATTGCAAACCTTTGATGGATCCATAATGACTGTGGGAACAAAGTTGAGGAAGATATGGTTACAGTCAGTTCGTACATTTGTGTTGTTGAAAGCCACCTCTAGTTCATCCATGGCTTCCAACAGCAGACGCTCTGCCTCATTGTGAAGGTACTCAAAAGAGGCCTCCTAGTAAAACAACAAAGAAAAAAAAAATTATCAAAAGGGGGAAGTGTGATCGAGTTTTTAAAAATAAAAGGCACATAAATGTGTGTTAGAGAATCTAATATCTCTAAAAACAACTTAAAAAAGGGGAGCGAAAAGGCTCCTTGCTCCTCTGTTGTCTTACCTTTGTGACCAGATCAGAATGGCGGATAATAGCACGCACAAAAAAACGGTAGTCTGTAACCTCGGTGCCCACCTCCACACGGGCTGCGCCCAGGTAAAGGTGCATTTTGTGGTTGGCACATGGGATGGCAGATAGGGCAAAATTGCGCATGCGGTTGAGTTCCAACTGGAAAGCTAGTGCTGGCTCCAAATGGCGATAGATCCTGTCCTCCTCAAACTATGGAGACACAGGCAGAACACGTTCACAAAAAGCAACAACACTGCTATATTTTAATAGGGCTTGTTCACAAACTTCACAGAAGAACTTTCTCTCCAGTTAGGCTTCTTTGCCATCATCTTTCCCATTAACAGGAGTAGTTCAAATTGGCAATTTCAGGAGCACTCAGTTGATATAAGAGTAAAAGATGCCTGTGAGCCACACACTGTATTAAGTAAATGAAATCATGGGCAATCTTAATCTCAGAAAGCTGCTAATGGGTATCATTTCTCTTAAATGGGAGACATAATTAAAGAGTTCATTACTTTAATGAGTTTTGGTGGCGTCATTGTAGTGAAACTATCAGGGGTAACGAAGAGGAAGAGACATCACTGATAGTGACAGAGTGAAATTTAGCATTGCCAAGGGGATAGAAAAGTCTTATAATCGCAACACAGTCTTGGATGGTTTCCTGGCCAAAGGGAAAATCTATCAGTCTGCTTATATCTTGAAATTTGTGGTTGTATTTTCAGGATTACAATAATCTGATACATGTAACTAGGCTTCAAAACACATGGCATTTCTACATTGGCCAACACCAGTTTGGTTATGTTTTGAGTGAAAGTGATGATTAGCCACATGGTTTGTAAATTGTAGACACTCACCTTGTCTCTGGCACGGAAAGTAAAAAATTTGGGGAATTCTCTCTGTGTGAAAGATAGTGAGATAAAAACAGAAAGGACAAAAAGAAATCAACAGTGTCTCTGTAACTATAACCTTGGTTGTAAACATGGCAGTTCAGTGTAAAATAAATAAATAAATAAATAAATCAGACATGCACAGCTGCTACTGTATATATTGTAAGTATGGAGTATTAAGCAGTGATGATTCATGCATTGGGTCCCATTTGCTTTTACTGCTGGAATCACTGAGACAGCAAGCTCAAATAATAATGGTAATAGGCTACATATATAAAGCACCATTCACTGAAGTGATGAATAAAACATTTTCTTTTTTCTGAGACATTAGACGTTATCAGATGAAATGTCCCACTTGCCAAACAATGCCAGGCCGATTGGAGATGCTCTCGTCAACTCACAGCAAACATGTTAACAAGAGAACAGCAATACTACACACTGGAAAACTCCACAGCCATGATTTGACCCTGATTACACATCATATTCAATACAGTGCACTGAGAAAAACCATTTCAGGGTAACCATAAAAATTGGTGCACACTACTAAAAAAACCTCTCTATGTAACCTATGATGATTGAGACACTGCTTAGCAAAATTAGCTCTCATCAGAGACTATGGTGCCATCAAAAGAAAATCAAAGCCTATTGTCAAACAGCAGAGGCAAAAGAACGGGGCGCTTCTCAAAATCTCATCCTATCCAGAATCTGTCATTATTCCCATGATCTGAAGTTGTGTCCCGTGCTCTGCTTATGTGGTTCTGTGTACTAAAGCACAATTGACAGGGGATATCATGAACTCCTTGGCTATCCATGTTAAAGACAGGTGTTCAGATTAGTGTCCACATTACTGCAGGACATCATTCTAATGTGGCAAAATCTAACTAACTAACCCAAAACCTTCACTGATTCTGAGCAGTGGTGGGTTAGGGTCCTACGCACTGGGGCAAAAAGGCTGAATAAGCTTCCTCTTGAAATCAAGGAGTTGCAGGACAGCTTGTAAAATTACAACCAAGCAGGCCCTGCTGGATGTAGGTATATTAGTACACTGCTTTCTGGTCCAATTAACCTAGCTCCTGTATATTGTTCATTTGAAAATAGTTTTGCAGCTGAATGTCTGGATATTTCATATGCACCTCCTCGGGAGAATCGGCTGGAGCAGTCTTTAACCAAACAAATCAATATTTGTCGAATACATCAAATCAAAGAGACACCCGTCCTTATTTCTTTTATTTTCCTCTACTTACATGAAACCTTTGGTCCACCTCACAGTTGACTTGCTTCCTGAAATCCTGTTCATCATAAATGCGTTAAAAGCAAGTCATGCAGAAAGAGATAGAGACAAACAGGAAAATAAGCTAAATCTCAAACAAAAATGATTAGTTACCACAGCGGTGTTATTCCATAATAAATTAAGCATTAATTACACTGCATTCATTACTAAAATGCAAGACAATTCATTTGTAACATTATGATACATGCTGCTCAGAACAAAACTGGTGACATGCACGGCATCAGATTGTGAAGACAGACAGCTGACTTGGTAAACACCAATTAGCACCCTCACCTTCTGTGCCACAAGGAAAGTCAACCTTCGGATGCCATGTTCAAACAGCTGAGATTTCTGGAATAGGAAAAGGCTGAAATGTCAGATGATATTTTTGAGTCCTCTGAAACATTTATCACTGAACTCAAGAGAAACAATGTCTTGCTGTAGACAGCTCCAACCTTTGACTGAGTGAATTCCCTGAACTGGGCTGCCAAGCCATCGTCATCAATATCGCAGTCTGTCTTAATAGCTACATTCAGGATATGGATAGGTTCATCACGGGCGCTCTGGACAACAAAGCAAATGCACATTTCAATCTGAGGCATACAGTCATAAAGATCAATGACCAGCCTGTGACTATCACAAGTCTGTTCTCGTCACCTTGTTGTCTTCTTCACCATACAGGACAGGATTACCACCCTCTGGGAAGCTTGGACTTGGGGGAGGAGAGTCAGAGAAGCAGCTCAACACATCTGGTATATCCCTATAAAGAAGGAATAGAGAAAAATCATACAAGTCATTAATCACACTGGTCATATCATCTTCACCAACCAATAAAATATATCCAAGTTAAGAACTATGTTAACCAAGAACTAACCTGGTGAACTCCTGGAAGGAGCGGAAAGCGACCATGGCTCCCATCCGCTGACAGGGGGGTGTAAAAGATGTGTCAAGCAGAACATCACTCACACTGGCCACATGCATCATGCCGTAGTGATTCAGGTTGGATGAAAAGGACATCCTAGAGTGTCAACAGAGAGCAATTCAAAATCTGACACAACACTAGACTGACTTAGTAAAATGCACCCCATCGACCTTTAAGAACCTCGCAACAGTTTTGATCAGTGCTTTTTAGTGCTGGGATGTAATATGTATGAAAATTGTAGGTGACTCTATAGTATAAAAACTGAATGAGGTTCAAATCATAAAAAGCAAGTAGAGTAGTACCAAAATTCCACCATGACAGTACAGTATAAGGGGTTTTTGACAGACCACACGTTAGTCAAATTAGAACACAGAAAATAATGCTTTATCCAGGAACAAGTGAAACAACAAAATAAATAAATAAATAAATAAAAATCACACCAGAAAGACCCTTCAAATACTCAAAGGCTTCATTTTGTTAGGCGTTAGTTATTTGATCACGGTAAGCTGTCCCAGTAGTTACACCTAATAAAAAGCACTCGAGAGGTTTTGTGTATCAAACCTGTCCACAGAATCCAAATCAGAGGCATTTTCCTTCTCTGCGTACTTATTAAGGTGCTGGGGTTTAGTTTGCTGTAATTTAGTCTTGGTGGCGTTTACATTGCCCAGGACTGGAGCGGCCCTTTTCCTGGCAGGACAGTCACAGGTTTCATTTCAGGAGATTTGCAACGGTGAACAGCATTTCCCCAGCATGTATTTTAAATTATTTTATCCCACTTTATATCAAGTTATTCCAAATCATCCTGACACACATACACACAACAGTATAAAATGCAACTCTTTCACAAAGACGCAAACACACATACAGGCTCAAATGTTTGACATAGAGGTTGATGTGCCAAGGGGCATGCTGTTGTCAGTAAAATTAAGAAACTTTGTGCTTATCAACGAGAGTACAGTCTAAACGCTAAGCCCCAAACAATTTCATAACCAAACAACCTGTTGACTTAAATCAATGATTAAATTAATGATTTGACCATGCAGCTAGCTAGTCTACAGTCACTAGCAATCTATGCAATAAAAGGAATGACTACAATACCTGTTTAGAGTGGGGATGTTCCCTCTGCAATCAAACAACATTGATTACTAAGTGGTTAGTGGCAGGCATCTCAGAGGAAGACAGTCAAGGTGTATCAATGTGTGAATCCTTTTACTATATGATTTTGTATTTATCACTATCTACCTGGAGGCATAGAATGTAAAATGGAGGATAAAGTAAACTGAAAATGTCTTTCTAGCAATGAACACACATTTCACTTCCTGACTGCTCCCTTTACAACATGCATCATGAGATCCCAAGACCTCCTTGTCCTGAGGTAAGCTCTGAACAAAAGGCAGAGGATCACTGCATGCTTTCATGCTGTATTTCGCTCAGTGATCAAACAATCATGAAAGTTAATTTGGATACATTAAATCACAAGCATGCAATAAATGAACATATGATGGCATTCATTCTACAACTAACTGCATAAACAAGCTGAAATCAACAGAAAAAAGAAAAAACACTAGCAGTGCAAAGTGGCAGCAATCAAATACACAGAAACACACACACATACACACAACAGACAAGCCAAACATATTGAAACTGGTGGGATGGAGGATGTGAGCGCAACAGACATGTCACAGTATTGTCTGTTACAAGATTTTTTCAAATGCTGAGCATGTACAGTGCAAATCCCGAGTCTGCCTCTGGTTTCTCTGATTCTCAAGTTTTATGACACAAGATGTTTTTCCAGGACTTACAAGGAAGAGAAACTGACATGACACTCTTGAGGCTAGATGCACTGTGCTCATGGCACTCACACTTTTGACAAACCAAGAAAAGTATTTTCAGTCTTGAAAAAATACCTTTTGCACATGAGAAGCATTTACATAGAGTACAACAGCGAACAATGAACAGGTAGCTGGGAAAGGTAGAGTGGAACCATGGCACCATGTAAGATGTGAAGACTTAAGTTTGTAACCACAGCTTATTTCCACCTATACAACAAACACTTACACAATGGAATAATGCAGTGGACTATGGGGAAAAGCCAGACACAAAAACAAATGAAGCCATCAAATTATACTGGTAATTCTGAGGAAGAAAGCAGTGGGTGGAACAGATGACAGCTGCAGGAGTTTCATAAAGCTGTGACTAAATATATCGTGATGCTGCCAACTTGCCAGAATCACTGCCACCTAAGGAAAGTTCTAGATCCATCCCTATCATATAGTAAATATTGATTCCTGGGCCATCCACAGGAGATCAGCGGGAAAGAGGATGCAGAGCAGGTGAGCACTGTGGGAATTTTGAACGTGATACCTGTTGGGATGTGAAGTGGGGAGCATGAACTGGAACTCTACTACACACGTGTTGTCCTTCAACTGTCGATGCTGAACGCTGTTGAGCTCATAGGCAATGTACGCTCTGCGAACATACACCTGTAGTTTATAGAGATGAAGCCACAGAAAATATTGGTTATATATGTGAAGCGCCTGTATTTTTCATTAAAATTAAGTAAAGGCCAAAAGATTTGTGGACTGATGTCACTATTCCTCTCACCTCAAGGGCAGCCATCGTGACTACCGGATTACTGTGGTAGAAGAAGTTGGGCAGAACATCAAAGATGGAGGTCTCAGAGAGGATTAGTTTCTTTGCAAAAAAAAAAAAAGCCAAAAATAGGCATCTTAAACACTTTGATTTTTCAGAGTATTAGATAATTTGCTGACTGTTGGGCATGTATTTTGTTGCCTACTTGCAGGTTCTCAATGCAGAATTGATGTCCATACATATCAATGGCAGAAAGGAAAATAGACTCCACCTGGTTGTGCCTGACCTCATAAGAGGGAAGGTGGGAAGCTATCAGCACCTGGGTAGAGGAGGAATTTGGAAGGTACTTTTGCTGTAAGATTGTGAATGATACACATTCAGATATTTCTTTACATTGTGTAACAGAGTCTATGTCCAGCTTTAAAATGTTTCAATACATTACAGATGTTTTATTCTCATTTGACCTATTGTTTTGTTTTTCACCCATAACAATCACTGTCACTGTGTGCTCTCTGCTATAGTGGCAAGTGGACAGTGACATCTGCTGGTGAAGCTCTCACTGTGGAACATGGTAAATCTCCCAATGCTGAAAAGTAGATATTCAATAACTTCCTTATCTGATGCACATCTGACCTGCCGAGCACGCAGTGCCACCTTGGCATTGGTTGTTTTGCTGAGCTGGGTGAGTTCCGTCAAAATGGCCATCAGTTCATCTGTCAGTGTGGGATCACGGCCACACAGCTGGTCCTAGACACATTCAATTTTGAATTTCGGTTATTAAGTTAATATCCAGAGTTATTACATGGAGTAACTTAGCTTACTGAGAATTCATGAGTAATCTCATTACAAGAGTGCAATAAATAATAATGGACCAATTTTTTACCCAACACCAAATATCACACATGGCTATATAAACAAATGTGCATATATGTACTTATTCATGTGTAGACAGTAAACATAAGAAATGTCTTAATGGAATGGCAGTGTGCCTTGTACATGATCACAGCATCAATATCCTACACATAAGGAGAGGGCTTGAAAGACTTTATCACAGTAAGCAAGAACACTTACAATCAACATTGTAACCAGCAGGTTCTTCTTGGTGACTTGGGCATGAGAGAAGATATAGTTGAGCACATTGGCCATGTCACCTTTGTTTTCCTCACGCAGTGTAAACACACATTTGTCATAGTGCCCTGTTAACAAGCCAACACATAGGCGCTCGAGTTAATACTGTTCAAGGAAACTGCAGAGTCACAGATGCCAGGGAGTTTATTGTGAAAAGGTTCCACCATATGGAGAAAATGAATAATTTACTGTACTTCTGAAGAAGTACAGTAAAGCTAAGATCATGTTACTCCAGTATTTGGAAACAAGTGACCACAGTAAACCCCTTAAACCACTAACTAGGTGTTTTGCTGCTGTTCCCTCACCACTCTGAAACTGGATCTCTACTTTCAGGTACTGTCGGAGCAAGTCCATCACCACTGCCTTCATGTGACCTCGGATACCACTGCGATACCTGTTTGGGTAAAAACAGTGTGGTCTAAAACAAAGAATAATGCAGTATTGTACTAATAAGGTATATATGTACAAAACAAAGTGACTAGGAAAACAAAAATTATAGATCATATTAGGGATGAGACGATAAGACTTTTTCTCAATATGATTCGATGATGCGGGGCGTACGATTCGATTAAATCACGATATAATTACAAATTCAATTACGACAAGCGTATGACTAGCTGCCGAATACTTGTACTTTACTCCTGTTTTTTTTTCCCCATTTCTAGCACTGGTTTTATTATGTTAAGAGCCGTCAGATACAGTATATTGACTTGCATTTTGTTTGGCCATTTACAAAAAATATGAAATTGCCGGTGTATGGAGACCACATGATAAACAGTATATGGCTGTCTCCTTGTGTCATGGGGAAAAACTCAATGTGTGAAACACTTCATCATACTGAGATATACTCACTTTTGCACTAGCTGAACAATGCTTTGTGTGTTCATAAAGAAGACTTCCCTCTCTGACTTCTTGTTAAGAGTAGCAGCATGGCTGTCCAGGATGTTTGCAATCTGGAAATGAAGGAGATAAACCTTATAAGCATTTAATCCAAACAACATCCAAGACTCATAAGCATTTAATCCAAGTGAACTGATGACCCTATGACCCTTTGTTAGCTTTGACCTGTTATAGCCAAACTGTGTACAGGAACCAAGAGTGAATGGCAGATCCTAATTGGGTGTGAAATCTAGACCAAAACTTCAGGCCTTTTTTGCTCTTCATAAACTAGCAATGGATATCAAATTCATAAAACTTTCATAAATATCTGAGTCCAAAATGTTTAATAGCAAATTCAGTGAAAGATTAATTTATACATTAGAGATACATACAGACACAGCACTTGCATCGTTATTTCCCCCTTTACCTAAATATGTAGTCACTCAGATGTAGGCTATATTTTGAAATTATTTGTCTGCTGAGGATACTGACAGAGGGTTTTTCTAGCAGTCGGATGTTACAGTATAAAAATCACGCCGCTAAACTAACACAAGACCCCTTATTTATTTAAACATGCTACAAATGTTTTGCAGATGACCCAATGTGGTAACCCAGAAAATGTGCTATATATTTATACATAACTAATCATCACTCTGTTTTCTGCAAAAAAAAAAGATTGCCATGGCAACCAACTGCTATTGCTGGAAAAGAGAAAATGAACTGTGAGGTACTTGGCAGGTGTTCCCCTGTAATTGACAAGGCAGAATCCTGTGGGTGCAGGTAGCATGGTGTGTGCATGTGTTATGGGGCACCTGCTGGCTGGGGAACTGGCAGAGTACTGAGGTAATGTTGCTGGCATACTGGGCCATCTCCTTCTTGATGGCCTTCTCCACAGCAGGGGGGATGCGACCTGACACACTAGTCATAATGTCTTGAAGTTCGAGCAGTGGCAAAGAAGGATCACGCATGGTTTTCATCAGCCTTTCCACCCACTCTTTCAACTGAGAAAGGCACAAGATATATACACTATATTTAGGAAGCTGCTTACAGCTGGATGAACTATTGTTGGTGTGTACCCAGTTGTGTATGGATTCTTGCCTTAGCACTGAAAAAAGGCTCAGGAAGACAGTAGCCATTCATGATGTGAACAAGGTGATCTAGTGTATTGTGGAAAACTCTGTGTAGCTTCTCCCCTCTCAGAGCTACTGCCTGGATAGTAGGCAGGACCCCTGTGTACAGCTCTGCCTACAAGACAAAGACAAAAGTCATTGTGCACATTTTCCCACATTGTTGTCCCTATGTCATTCTTTCATAAACAGGCACTGTCAGTGGCATGGTCTATTAAAATGTAGTGTCTGTACTCTGAAATAACAAGATGGTGAAGAAATCCGCAGTTGGTTACCTTGAATAATGTCTGACCAAGAAAGAAACTGAAAATGTGTAATTTACACTTATTTTCTTCTTGAGTCATTAATATCTAACCAGTAGTGAAACACAAGAAGTGGGCTCCTCCACCATTAGGCCTGCCTCCTAACTTTCTGACATTAATCCGGTTTAGATGTTTTGTTGGAATCTATTCCCTTCAGATAACTGAGCCTTCATCTTTGTTGGTAGCTGCAAATTCTTGCCTCAGTGATATTTTGAATTCATAAAGCGGTTTCTTTTAAACACCAGTGCACATACCCAAACGACTAAAACTTCTGCTCACTCTGCTTACTCTGTAAAAAAATGTTGTCATTTTGATAGTCAGACACTAGTCATAACAGGAGGAGATGAAGGCTACTATGTATGTCCTAACTTGCAAAGCAATATTTTACACTAAACAAAAAATATTACATAACACTTTTCAGTCAATAACACAGTACCTGTTGTACTCTGCTTGGGTCATCCAGTTGCAGTTTGGCGATGACACAACCAGGCTCCAATGCAGCTCCAGCCCTCTTCACATAGTGAATACAACCAGATTCTCCAGCTGTGAGGGTCATTACCATCTTCATCACCTGGAATTTAAAAGTATTGAGTTCACATCTATACAACAAAAATGCAATGAGTCTCAAGTGATTCCATTCTCTCGTGGACAACATGCATATAATCCTTAACATGATGTACCTCTATCTCAGCATAGCACTGGCCAGCAAACACATGTCCACCATCCTCGACTGTGTACTGAATGAGTTTTCCTGCTGCTGGAGAGCGCAGCAGCGAAGGATCATTCTCCTTTTCGAAAACACAAGTTTTGTTCCCAATTGTGATGCGATACCTGTGGGGAAATGTTTTTACCGGAGTCAAGATCTATCCAGGCAATGACTTAATAAAATAAATGTGCCATTACATTATCTTTTAATTCACTTTCATTCTATGCTGTGGTGGAGTTACTAATGTCAGCTAATTTAGTGATGACATTTCATTATTAAGATTTGTTTTCTCTTACCTGTCCACCTCCTCCTTCATGTAGGTAGTGTAACTGCTACCATCATAGGACAGCAAAAGACCTCCATCGCTGAGCCGATGGACATCCACCTCAGCTGAGTTGTTCATAATGACCACATAGGAGTTGGGAGACTGGCGTGTCACTGTCACAACGTACTTAATACCTTCATAGATCAGCTCCACATCCACAGTGTTGAGTAGTGTGTGTGCTGGAAGTACCTGGCCCCTGGTAAAAGAGTAGTGTGTGTCTCATATTTTCAATTGTGGAAAACATTTTTCTTGGGTTTCTACTGCTTGACATGGATTACTATGACATGTTATAGTTATTACCTTTCCAGAGAATGCAGGAAGTTGGACACACTGTTCCTTAAATTGACATCTGCTACATGAAGAGCCCCGCTTACAATCCCCAGCATTGTATCAGGACGCTCCGCCTGCACACAACATCGAACATTGAAGCTTAAATTCAAACTGCATGGTGCCAAGAGGATAAAACCAAAGGTCTTACTGTTACTCTAACACTCGGGTGTAGTGTGGTTTCAACAGTTGTAAAATGGGTCAGTATATCAAAAATATCTTTTCCTACTATAGTTTTCTCTAAGAGTATCCAGTGGCCAGAGCTGGAACATCTCTGCATACCTGCATCTTCTCTGAGATAAGCCTGTCCAGCCAGCCTGTATCAATGCTGTTGTGCTGGAAGCTTTCAGTTTCCAGCAGCTTAATGAGGTATTCCACTGTGGTCCTGAAGTCTCCTCTGATAGACAACTCTTTCAGAGCCACCACCATGTTGCTGGAAAAAGATTAAGACAAAATCACAAGGCAAGTATTAAAACATCTGATTAGGAAATTGCATAAAAATTATTAGCAATAAATGAATGGTTCTGAATGAGCTTCCTGATAGAGTGATCTTTTCAAAATACTATGTGTACTCACGAGATGGCTTCTTCACGATTTTCTCCCCAGGAGAAGCAATGTCCAAATTGGGAGTCTGCAAACTCATGCAGTCCTCCAGCCGCTGCAACACTGAAGTAGCCCCACACATTCTTATTGCTGCGGAAATTCAGCTCTTGCACTGTTCCAGAGCTTGGCTTAAAACCCTGCAATCAGAAAAGCTCCACTCTTCATCTTCTCATAGACTAAGTAAAATCCTATTAATATGACATCTACTTTTTTGACATCTAGACAAAGTTAACACTTTGAAGCAATAATAATAATAATGTCCAACAGAAATCATAGACTTTGGGTAACCCTTAGGATGTTGTGTACCAGGAGAGAATGAAGCGTACCTCATCGGGATTTTCACTGGTGATACGTGCTGCAATGACATGGCCACGTGGAGAAGGGGTCGCTGTCAGACCCTCGAAATCAATTGGAGAGTCTCCCCAGGGCTGGACTCCATAAAGCATCCTGATGTCTTTGATCCGGTGAAGAGGAATACCCATAGCAATCTGGCAAAAGGTTATAAACCCAAATTTATATTCGTGAACTGAAATATACAGAACATTAATGAATGGACAAACAGCACATAGACTGTATGGATTACGAATGTCTTTGCTTTGAATAAACCACATGCTTATCTGACTAGAATCTAGTTTTAGAATCAAGTTTTCAGTTTTCTGGACAACCCAGAAAACAACATCTTGCTGATAGACAGTGAGCTCTGTTGCTGCCTGGAAAAAGATCCCCTTGTCATCTGTGTCAAAGTGAGTGTGTCACTTCCACAGAAAGTGTCTTTCAGCTTGAATGCCTCTGACCTATACTTACACAATCCTAAACACTGCAGAACAGACCACATGAGACATTGCTGGTACAAGCTCTGGATCTACTGAAACTGCTTCTGCATATTACCTCATTCTTTTCCAGTTTGTTGCAATGGACACAGGGGCCCGTCTAATGCAGAAGACTGATGGCAGTGGATCGTGCTGACTTTGTCTGCCACTGAACGGTCACATACCCTAATGCATCAAAAGAGGGGAGTGAGTGAGACTGACCTGCAGCTGGGCAGCAGGCAAGTTGACATCAGCCACCATCTCAGTACAGGGGTGCTCCACCTGCAGACGAGGGTTGAGCTCCAGAAAGTAGAAGCTGCTGTCCTGGCTGTACAGGTACTCCACTGTACCTGCACTGACATACCCCACCATTTTAGCCAGTCTCACCGCACACTGAGGAAAGAAAGCACCTTTATTCATATCAAGGTTTTCACATGTTCAACTTTCAATCTGAATTTAACTGTATCAGTTGTACATAAGTCCAATCTATGGTTGGTACCCTTTCCATATCCTCAAACACATCAGCAGTAGCAATGGTAGCAGGAGCCTCCTCTATGATTTTCTGGTGCCGCCGCTGCACAGAGCAGTCTCTTCCAAACAGGGAAATGGCACGGCCATACTGATCAGCCAAGATCTGAACCTCCAAGTGGCGGGCATGCTTGGCTAGCTGCATGATGAAAATGGGTGATCCTGGAACCTCAGCTTGGACCTGAACAACCAAAGAGGAAGGTAACTGATGCAGTCAAAAAATTCATACGCACACACACAAAAGTAATTTTTCTGCATATTATGCCCCATCAAAGTTTCCACTTACCTGTCTGAAGAGGTTAGGGAAGTCATCAGCACAGTTGACCTTACGAATACCTTTTCCTCCACCTCCCTCTGAGGCCTTCACCATTACAGGGTAGCCAATTTTCTCTGCAGCCTGGTAATTGATATATATAACTTTCTACCATGCCAGACATGCATTAATGTACAGTAGACTAATGGTCACGCATTCACACACCGGTGACATCACCGGGAGCAACTGGGGGTTCAGTGTCTTGTTCAAGGACACCTCGACATGTTGACTGGACAAGCCGGGAATCGAACCGCTAATCCTCCGGTTAGGAAACGACCCGCTCTACCTCCTGAGCCACAGCCGCCCCAAAGCACATAACATTCACTGGGTACTAGATATGGTCATTTAGATGACATGCTTACCTTTAGGCCATCGTCTATATCATGGACGCAGCCAAGCTCGTACACGTCAGGAGGAACACTAATAATTCTGTTCTTCGGGTTGTTCTCTGTCCAATCTACTCTCAGGCCTGAGGGAAAAAAACATAACACTCAGCATATGGTACATATACATTTCCATGACAATGTGTGAAGTTTCTGAAACTCTCACTTGAAACCCCATACAGTTTACAATATTGCTAAAATCAAACACTGACTACATAATGTTTCAATCTGGAGGAATGTAGAAACATTAACTGTTTAAATAATAGAGAGAAAAATCTTTGGACTCCATGATCACTTTGACCTACCTGTTCCACTCCAGGGCAGGGTTGGAATGCCAGCTGTCTGAGCCACAATAGAGGAAGCAATCTTGTCTCCTAGCGCCCACATAGCCTGACTTGGGGGACCTGAGGATGGAGTAAGCAATGTTTTTAAATAAGTTAAATGAGCAACAAAGTGACAGAGAGAGTAAGAAACTCATTTTACCCATAAAAGCAATGCCATGCTTCTGAAGCAGCTCTGGGAGTTTGGGGTTCTCTGAGGCATGACCCCATCCAGCCCACACTGCCTATACAGAAAAACATATGACAGCAGGTACTCAATTAATAGTAAAGTTATTAATTGCAGTGGAAACCTTCTAAAGAAATAAAGTGGCTTGTAGTACCTGAACAGGTATGCGTTTAGCAATGTCCAGAATGAGCTCAACATTGGCATAGTTATTGTTATTAGTCCCTCCTGGCACAGGCACATAATGATCTGCCATTTTAATGTACTCTGTGACAGACAAAAACCACAACAACCATTGAACTAACATAATTTGTAAAACTTCAAAGCATGTAGAAAGCACACACAGTCATGAAGACATCAACTGTTCAATTAATGTTGGCATCAAGCACAGTAGTTGGTGGACTTAAGTGCTCAGAGAAATCATGCTAAAGCTCACCTGCATTGGCCTTCAGGTCCTCTGGGGTCACCATAACTACAAAGCGGATTGCCCTTTCATTGCGAAACATTTCATAGGCCCAGCGTCGGATGGAGCGCATACATTTGACCGCTGCAATGCCATTGTTGGCAATAAGCACCTGGAGAAGCAAAATACTGTTGATTTGCTCACATAAGTATAAAAAAAAACAAACAAACAAAAAAAAAAACTTCATTAATAACAGCTGGTCTAATCATGTTACCTCATGCAAGTTATGGAACATCAATACATTTATAAAACTGCTTCTTGTCATCTAATGAAATGCAATATACTAAACTAAAGAAATAGTGATTATGGTGTGATTAGCCCTTTTAGTATGACTTCAAGACAGCAGTAAATAAGAACGTTCACCTTCTCGATGACTTTGTTGCCACCAAAGCGGGTGACAAATTCAGCAGGTGAAGCCACCGTGAAGTCCCTCTGTAGATCAATACGCCGACGATCTCTGCCTTGCTTGATCAAGTGCAGCCCTGACATGCTTGGCCTGTTTTAAGAAATACAAAAATCCACATATTGGCCCTTCATAATGCCTACGGCGTGGAAAGAATGCTAAAAGCAAACTGATAACTTATACCGCCTTATTTTTAACTGTGCTGCCTGTACACCATTTAATAATGTGCACTGACAAAAATAAGAAATGTAAACATTAAATTGGCAGAAGGAAACTAAAAAAAATAAAATGCCAATAACATCACGTCTTAATGATAAGTGACCTTTTGGTCTATGGAGCAGATGATTTGACTACTGTCTTACAACCCCAAATCAGTACAAGTTGGGACGGTATCAAAATCAAAATCAAAACTGAAAATACTGATTTGTAAATCATCTGTGTCCTGTATTACACTGAAAACAATACAGCAGCACATTATTTGATGCGATACCTCACCAATTTTATTATTTGTTCAAAATAAACATTCACTCCAATTCTGATGCCTGCAACACATTCCAGAAAAAGTTGGGCCAGTAAAGCATTCACCACGGCATGATGTTGCCATTCCTTTTCACAACATCTAAAGACGTTTAGGGACTGAGGATACCAAGTGTGTGTCAGGTGTCATTTTGTCCAATTCTTTCTGCAAACAAATTTTAAGGTGCACAACAGTCCTGGGTCTTCATTGACACATTTTGCGTTTCAAAATGCAAACACATTCTCTATTGGGGACAGGTCAGGACTGCAGGCAGGCCAGTCCAGCACTCACACCCTTTTCCTCTGCATCCAGGCTTTGGTCATGTGTGCAGTATGAGGTTTTACATTATCTTATTGAAATATGCATGTAACAATCTGGATGGACCTTTTTGTCTTTGGCCCAGAGCACACGGCGTCCATTCCGTCCAGAAAAAAAAGACCTGAAATACTGATTCATCTGACCACAATACATGTTTTCACTGTGTGATGGTCCATCTCAGATGCCTCTGAAGCCAGAGCAGTCGACTGTCCTTCTGGACACTGTTGACATAGGCCTTCCTTTAGGAACAGTACAGTTATAAGCAGCATTTATGGATGTAGCCACGTATCGTAGTGCCTGACACAGGTGTGCCAAAATAATCCGGAGCCCGTGTGGTTATATCGCTTATATGAGTGACAATTCTTGATGCAGTGCCATCTGAGGGATTGGAGAGCATGGTCATCCACTTGCACTCAGCCTTTTCTGGTTGCTACTTTTGTACCAAATCATGATTGCAGTCACCAGCTGATATCACGTTCAAGATAAACAGTCCACTTATAGCACAACTAACAAAGGAGCACGACATACAGTGCTAACTCCTGAAACATTACATGCTTGGGCAAGTGCCTCTGATAGGACTTGGAGAGCTCTCCCCGCAGCATTCCACCTCAAATGGAACCGGGGGGGGGGGGGT